CACCCAGGCGTCCCATATCAAGCCTTTACGGCTGTATGGTGGCTGTTTTTATTCCTGTTTTATTGATTGGAGAATTCGGATCCGAGCGGTTTACAGAACTGCTAAGTGGGGGGGCCGGGAGAGAACCCATTCGCTCATTCATTCATTCAGCGCATTTTTATCGAGTGCATAAAGGGCTGCTCTGCGCTGAGGATCCCAGGTAAACAGAGCCCCAGCCCCCGGTCCCCGCCCCCGCTGAGCCCCGGGGGGTGCGGGGCTGTGGTAGGAGCCCGGTCGGTAAACGTCAATAGAGGAACCCGTCGGGTGCTCCGCCCCCCGCCGGCGACCCGGGCGTCCGCGCGCTGCCCGAGGCCGCGCTCCGAGCGCGCAGGCTCTGCAGACGGTCGCCGCCCCGGGGGAAGGCGGCCCCGCCGAGCGACCTCAGCGTCCCCCCGCGGAGCCCCCGGCCGCCCCCCGCCCCGCGCCCGCCACAGCCCCGGGGCCGCCCGCAGCGCGCATCCGGGCCGCCGGCGCCCGAGCCCGAGCCCGAGCCCGAGCCCGAGCCGGAGCCGCAGCGGGAGCCGCAGCCGGAGGGGCGGGGGCGCCGGCGCAGCGGGGGCCCGGAGGCCGGCACCCCTGCGGGGAGCGGCGAGCCCACCCTGCCGAGGTAAAGGGGCGGGCGGGGGCGGGGGCCGCTGGCGCGCCCGACCTCGCGGCGATCGCCGCCTCCCGCCCCGCGGCCGCTTCCCGGAATCGCTCGCTGGCTCCCGGCCTCTCCGCGCTCCGCCTCCGCCCACGCGGCTGCCTGCCCGCGGGGCCCCCGCCCCTCCCCACTGCACCCTCCGCCCCCCCCTCTCTCCGCTGCACCCCCCGCCTCTCCTGCTGTATCCCCCGCCTCTCCCCACTGTATCCCCCGCCCCTCACCCCCGCGCCCCCGCCTCTCCTCGCTGCACCCCCCCGCCTCTCCTGCTGTATCCCCCGCCTCTCCCCACTGTATCCCCCAACCCCTCTTCGCTGCACCCCCGCCCCTCCCCACTGCACCCCCCGCCTCTCCTGCTGTATCCCCCCCCGCCTCTCCCCACTGTATCCCCCTGCCTCTCCCCACTGTATCCCCCCCCTCCTCTCCTGCTGTATCCCGCGCCCCTCCCGGCTGCACCCCCCCCGCCTCTCCTGCTGTATCCCCGCCTCTCCCCACTGTATCCCCCGCCCCTCTTCGCTGCACCCCCGCCCCTCCCCACTGCACCCCCCCGCCTCTCCTGCTGTATCCCCCCCCCGCCTCTCCCCACTGTATCCCCCTGCCTCTCCCCACTGTATCCCCCCCGCCTCTCCTGCTGTATCCCCCGCCCCTCCCCGCTGCACCCCCCCCCACCCGACCCGACCCACCCCCAGCCGAGCGGGTCGGCGGGGCGTCCGCCGCGCTCCTCCGCGCGCTCCGCTCCCCGCCACCCCCGGGAGCCCTGGGTCTTTGCACCGTGCCCCGCGCCCCACGCCCCCCGCCCCCGCCCCGCTCCCACCGAGGATGCTCGGGATGCTCGGGACCCCCAGGGCACCCCAGGGGGCGGCTAGACGTGAGCCCTGGAGCCGTGCGAGGGTCCTGTGCCTCGGAAGCCACTGGGCCTTGCGAACCTGGGGTGCCCCGTCTCTGGGGCCTCGGTCGGGTCCGCGGCCGCCCCCGCGAGGACACCCGGCGGGAGCCGGTCACCGAGGGGCGACGGGGGCTTGGGGGCCCGAGGTCCTTCCAGACCCCCCAGCCCCTGCTTGGAAGCTGGATTGGGGAGGAGGGCGGGAGACGGGGATGTGGGGAACCGGGTGCGAGTGGATGCTGGAGTTTCAACCCCGGGGAATTCAGCTAGGGGTGAGCGGCGACCTTATTGAGCAACTCTAGATATCTCGCCTCGCCTCGTTTTTAAAATTCTTGTAATATTTGTTTGGTTTCCTTGCTTTTGTTTGAGAAGAGGTCTTTTACAAACAGGCCGGAGGGGTCACATCTGCGTCTGTTGAGCAGGGGGCTGCGGAGGGGGGCTCAGGGACTCTGCACTGGTCCACGCTCCCCGGGGGTCCTACTACCTGACCCCGGGGACTGAGACCTCAGGCCGTCCCCTGTCGCACACCTTGGCAAGGTTTCTGAGTCACCTCCCTCCTCCCGCTTGCCTTTCGGGTTTGGGGACAAAAGGATGGAAGCAGAGGCCACACCAAAATGTGCCCTGAACACTGAGAGGGGCACTGGAAGGGATGAACACTGGGTGTTATACTCTATGTTGGGAAATTGAACTCCAATTAAAAAAAAAAAAAACATAAAAAGAAAAAGAAATGGCCAAAAAAAAAAAAAAAACCCAAAAAACAAACAAACAAAAAAACCCAAAAACCAAAATGTGCCCTGAAGAAAACATCTTTTCAACTTCCCTAGCAGTATGGGCTTCGTTGATAAGATTTGACCTGTTTGTTCCAGGAAACAGTTTGAACTTTTTAAGTTCTAACAGTTCACCAGCTGGCTTTCCATTTTAAAACATCAAAAATCTGCCACGCTCTTTTATTCCTACCTGAGTTTCCTCTAAAGTTCCTCGTGTATTTATTTAAAAGTTAAAGAAAAAATCTCCCTGAAATTTGGTTCCTGTGATTTTTTGACAAATGGTAATTTGTCTAAAAAAAAAAAAAAAACCAGAACCCCAGCCCCAGAGATAGTCTTGGAAGTGAAACTATTAAAATATACATTTCATCTCTCCCACTTGCACACAGCGCTGCTGAACTCATTTTTCTGTTCTATTTATAAATATTCAAACTGTTGAACAGTCAATGGCATATAATCTTCTTTGACTATCAGCCATCTTATCTTAGAAAAACTAAAATGCCACTGAGTGTAAGATGCACTTTTTCGTGTAAAATTTTTAGGAAGTACTAAAACACACACATTCTGATTTCAGAGATGTTTGGATGTAAGAAAGAAACGTGCATTTTATTTTTTTTATTTTTTTTTTGAAACGTGCATTTTATAAAGTGTAAAATGTCATCTGAGCAGAAGCAGAGCTTGACAGTACTTTGCCTGAGGATGCTGCATTCATTCTGAGAGTGAAGCTGCTTGGTGTGCGATTCTAGGAGAATAAAGAAGAAGGTGTTAGTTGGGAGAGCAGGTAGGCCGAAGTGTCCTGGGAAGTCCAGAAAGGAGGAAAAAAAAAGTGAGAGACAGGGAGGGGTTGAGAGCCACTGAACATTTCTCTGGAGCCAGCAGGAAAATGAGGATGCTTGGTTTCCCCGTAAGCCAGAGTCCACGGGAGAGATAGTCTTAAGCATTGTTTGTGTTCTTGTTTTAATTCTGAGGGCTTTATATATATATATAGTTAAAATTTGGGGTGCCTGGGTGGCTTAGTAGGTTGAGCGTCTGACTCTTACTTTGGGCTCAGGTATGGACCTTACGGTTGTGGGATTGAGGCCCCCATGGGGCCCTGAGCTCAGCACAGAGTCGGCTTGGGATTCTCTCCCTCTCCCTCCCCCTCATCTCAAATAATAAATAAATAAATGTATTTATTTAAATGTATTTACAATTTGAGTGTGCCTGACCACCAGAAACTATACTGGTGAATCAACAACAATCTTAAAAAGACTCCCTAATAGACAGGAAAGAAGAAAACAGGGCCTTAACATACTTGACTTTTTCCTTTTCTGGCAAAGGGGCAGTAGTCAGAGGCCGTGAGATGGGGAAAGTCAGCTGGGTGAGTGGGAGCTGAGAAAGCCAGTGCCAGGATCAGGAGAGCCATCCGCAGGCCCGGTGGTTGACCTTGCCTCACCTCTCCACTAAAGTCAGTGCACCTGCGTGCAGAGCGGGTACCAAATCTTCCAGGAGAAAGCAGGACCCCACTATCCTTACATCTGTCTCTACCTTGACTGAGCACCCCAGTCCTTCAGGCTCAAGAAACTGCTCAGTCTTTACAGAACAAACTGGAAAGTCAGGGTTAAGGAGGTTAAGATTTCACTCCACTATATCATAATAACAGATGACAAAGCCATCTAAGTACCAGCGAGGTGACTGGAAGTGATGGGGGGAAGGAAGGAAGGGAGATAATGACATGGTTTGCAAAGGAGTCTTACTTAAAAAATAATATTACAGGACACCTGAGTGGCTCAGTGGTTGAGCATCTACCTTTGGCTCAGGTCGTGATCCTGGGGTGCTGGATTTGAGTTCCACATCGGGCTCCCTATGGGGAGCCTGCTTCTCCCTCTGCCTCTGTCTCTGCCTCTCAGTGTCTCTCATGAATAAATAAATAAAATATTTTAAAAATAAACATAAAAATAAAAAATAATGTTATTCCTAGATTAGAAGAAAACTTCTTCCAATGGCCTTATATCCTACAACTTGATAAAAATAGGAATTCAATTGGATAAGCTCAAAGATGAGGATATTTTGAATTAGGATGGAATGGGAGATTGTAGACTTAAGGGAATAAATTGGCTGCCATGGAAACATAACCTCAGAAGAAGTAAGAAGAAGGAACAGAATAGATACTGCTGAAAATAAAAGCTTTTTTTAAAAAGGAAAGGTTTGATTCAAGCCCAGTGAACATAAATGAAAAAGAAAGACAAGTCAATTAGGAAGAATCTGACGTGGAAGGTAAAGAACGATCAAGCATTAGGATAATTGGGATCCCTGATGTGCAGAAATGACAAATGGGACAGAACATGTAAGTAAAGGTAAAAGAGAAGAAATTTTCTTGAAATGAAGAAAAAATGGTCTATAGGCCCAAAGAAGTTTTTCCAGGAAATTTTCATATGGGAAAGCTCAGCATCAAGATAACTTAAGTGATTTACATTTTTTTTTTCAAGAGAAGACTTATTTAGGAATCCAAGAAGAAAAAGTAAACAAAAGAGGGACAAACCAGACCAGGACAGCCTCAGACTCCCTAGTGCTAAATGCCAGAGGATGGAGGTTCCCAGAAGTGTTCTAAGTGGAGGATACTGTCCCCAGAAGGGTGTTTTATTCAGCTAAGATGTCATTTGAGGTAAGAGTCAACAGGCAGGCCTTCTCAAATATGAACGAGCCAAGGGAATTCAACACTCAGTGAGCCCTCTTTGGGAAAAACTGCTGGTTTGGAAAAATTCAGCAAATTAGCAAATTAAGAGATAAATCAAAATAAAGAATCCAAGCGTACCATAGAGAACTCATGCTCAAAAGGAGCACTAGTAAGTGTTTATATGAATGTAGAATTAATACTGGACAGCTTTGGAAATTGTAGGTAGAATAAAATGTGATTGTTAAATCAACCTAGACACAAAAATCAATAAACCAAAAAAAAAAGATGTAGGGAGGAAGATGGGAGGGAAAGGAGAGTAGTAAAATTCTCATCTTTGAAAGTATGGATCAATAAATATGGTTTAATAGTAAAAGGTGCTGTGAACATATAATACCCCAACTTTCTGATGTCTCTGTCACCTTTTCTTTGAAACATTACGAAGATATTTTAGGAACTTATTCTTATCTAAAGAGAAGAATAATTCTAATTCCAACAATTCCTTCAGTCTTTTGAGTTTTCTTTCCCAAGTATAGTTAAATTTAGACAGAAATGGTCTGCATGTGTGTTAGGAAGGCCCTAAATACACATGCATAGAAAGATCTCTGGGATTATGTCCACCTAATGTTAATGATGGAAATACCTGGATGCTGGAATTTGCACTGTTACACATTTTTAATTTTTTTAATGAGCACACAAGAGAAGTTCTACAGAAATAAGAAAGCCATTTGAAAACTCAACTAGAAACAAACATGCCAAGATGTTAAAATAACAATGGTTCGTCTTGGGTGGTAGAAATAAGGATGATTGTTACTTTCTTCTTTCTATTTTGGGGGGTTTTCACCCCTAATTTTTAGGAGAAAATATACGTAATTGTATTTGTGTAGGATTTCCAAGTCCAGTCCGTTCATTACTCATTGACTACCAATATTATGCCAGATAGAAGAAGAGACCCTAATGTTCTCCACCAGGAGACTGGGAAGCCTCAAACTCCTTGAGGGTTGGCCATCTGTCCATCTGTTGGAGGAGTTGGAATTCAGAGAGGAATCATTTCACTTTCTAGTGTCTACTTGAGCAGGGCCCTGAAAGGCAGCAGGGTTGGCTGAGGTGTCAGAGGTGAGGGTTGCTCCAGGAGCAGTGGAGCAGGGAGCCAGGGAAGGGTGAGGGGCACCCAGAGAGCCAGGGCAGGGTGAGAGGCACCCACAGCTGGGCACCTGTGTGGAGCAGTGACTCCTGGGAAGATCAGGAAGGCTGAAAACAGCCTTGAATTCAACCCAAGGCGTGGGATGCCTTGTCAGGTGACAGGGAGCTGCGGACTGGGCTGGCTGCAGAATGTGCTGGTCCCAGAGCAAAAGGAAGATGCAGGGTTTGCGTGTCTATAGAGCAAGAAGCACCACGGAAGGCCCTTAACTATAAAGCTTTTTCTTTTCTTCCATTGTCTCTGTTTCCCAACTTGTCACTTTCATTTTTACAGTGTAATATCACCCCAAGTAAAAAAATAAAATTTTACATCATTAGCAGGCATTTCCCCATTCTACTTTCTGCTGTGCAAAGTCAGATCTAAGAGCATTTAATTCGTATGGGGAATCACCAGATTACATAACTGGCATCTCACAGCACATTTTAAGAGGGTACCTCGAGCTAACCAGAAGAAGCAAACTTAGGCCAGACTTGGGGAGGAGGAAAGAGGTCCCTCCAGGCACACCCCTGCCCCAGAGGCATTTGCTCATGCCCCAGGGTTACCATCGGGGCCAGCACAGCTGTCTGCAGCTGCCCGATGCCACTCCGCCCCTTGCGACTCTGGGCACACATGCACTTGGGACCTAAGGGAGCTGGTCCCCCGTCTTGCTAGCCGCCCTGTACCCCAGCCTGGGTTGGGCTCATCCAGCCCAGAATCCCTCCTTCCCAAGGACCTGCTGTCTCTCAACCCCAATATCCAAAGGTCTTTATTGTTTTTTTAAGATTTTATTTATTCGTTCATGGGAGACCCAGAGAGAGATGCAGAGACATAGGCAGAGGGAGAAGCAGGCTCCCCCACAGGAAGCCCAATGTAGGACTCGATCCCAGGACCCCAGGATTATGACCTGAGCCAAAGGCAGACGCTCAACCACTAAGCCACCCAGGTGTCCCGTCCAAAGGCCTTTAAACCTCTGCCCCTGGACGTGCTAGGTACCTGGGTCAAGGCTGACCTGGATGCTCATCCTCACCAGTCCAGCTAGCTGCCCCCCTGGGCGAGGCCAGCCTGGAACACGGGCAACGTCCACCCTGCCAGGCCCCCATCCTGCCTGCTTCCCCACCAGGAGGGCATCAATACAACATGGCACTTTCCAGCGATGTGACCCAGCTGGTACCCCACTCAGAGGACATCAGCAGTTCCCATTGTAGAGAGAGAGGCCAGACAGGGCCTGGGACCCCATCCCATGGGGGAAGGAGGGCAAGACCGAGTGTGAGCTGAGGCTCCCAGCTCACCATGGATCCCTCTGTCCCATCAGACTTCGTCAACAAAACACAAGTTCAAAAATAAGATCATTAGGAATTTCAAGCCAGCCCCAGGAAGGCAGCAAACCAAGCGCGGAACCCTTCTGCCTACAGGACCCAGGAGGGAAAGTGAGGGAAGAGCGAACAGAGATAAGAGTAACCACAGCTATGCCTTAGGGAGGTTGATCTGCAGTCAGGGTGAGTTCTCAGGCGCTTCCTTAACGATTCCAGGCAGGATGCCAAGACAGGAAATTAGATCTTCTAAACAAGCAGGAATCTAGTTACTAGACATTGGGTTGGAAGTGGAGTACAGGTCCTCAAGAGCAAAGAAGGAAAAGACACATTCCCCTGGCTCACAGGGGGTGAGTGACTTATAATTGTGTAACTGCGTGTGTGTGTGTGTGTGTGTGTGCGCGCGCGCACACGTGCCTCTCAGCTGCTGAAGAAATGAAGTGTTCTACAGATGAGAGCAAAGGTGAAGATGTGCCACCATCAGGAAAGGACAGAGGGGTGAGAGGCCACAGGGCAGATGTTCAAGTGCAAGGGGGTGCCACCCCCATGTGGCATTCTGCGCTCCAGGTGTGCCCACAACCGTGCAGGCCGCCTGCCGGGGAGTAATGGTGGGAGATGACCTCACACGTCACAGAGCTCTGGAGATGTTCTCAGTGGGCACAGAATTGTGGCATAAGTTGTAGGCAGAGGTGCCTGGATAGCTCAGGGGTGGTGGAGTCTTCAGCAGGGTTGGCAGTTTTAACCTGGAATCCCTTGGATTCTCTAGGAGGGCACCCTGGTGGGACCTGTTGCCCTCATAATCAAGAGGAATTTTTTTTAATTAATTAATTTATTTGACAGACTTTTTTTTTAATTAATTTATTTATTTGACGGAGAGAGAAAGAGTGCACAAGCAGGGAAAGGGAGAAGAAAAAGGCCCCGTGCAAAGCAGGGAACCAGACACGGGGCTCGATCCCAGGACCCCAGGACTATGACCTGAGCGGAAGGCAGACGTGCAACCACTGAGCCCTCCAGACGCCCCCCAAGAGGACTTTTTCATTTGTTTTGAGCTTGAACTAAAGTCTGCTACTTTGTGGCCTTTTTTCAGTCTCAACTTGGGGCCTGAGGCTGCTACAGGGTTGGGGAGTACAAAACACCCAGAACCTATAAGACCCAGTAGCTTGGGTGGAGACAGAAGCCCTGAGGCATAAAATTCAGGAAGAATTTCTCAGCTTGGAGTGAGGAATGTTCCTGACTGTGACTCAAAATGCAGATGCCAAGAAAGAAAAAAGCTTTAAAACTGAAAACATACACCTCAGAAACTCATGGGTGAGATTTTTTTTTTTTTAAGCCAGCATGAGCAAATCAAAGGGCAAGTTGACAACAGAGGAGAAAAAGATGTAATTTGTATCACAGACCAAGGGCCAGGTTCCCTCATACTTAAAAGAGTTCCTACAAACAAACCGATAAGGAAACAAGCTACAACTCAGTAGAAAGATGAGCAAAGAAACACACAGTTGACAAAAAAGGAAATACAAGTAGCTCTTACATGTATGAAAAGGTAGACAAGTCAGAATAGAGAGATAGAAGTGTGTGAGAGTGGGAAAAAATTGGTTTTTATTTACGAATTTGGTTTTCCAAAGTCCAAGAGTGGGGTGTCTGGGTGGCTCAGTCAGCGAAACGTCTGCCTTGGGCTCTGGTCATGATCCCCGGGTCCCGGGATCGAGTCCCTGTAGGGAGCCTGCTTCCCCCTCTGCCTGTGTCTCTGCCTCTCTTTGCGTCTCTCATGAATAACAAAAATAAAATCTTTAAAAAAGAATAATAATTACCTGCTTCAGCATCTGGATCACCTCATACTGATTTCCTTTCAGATGTGAAAGTAAAGAGAAGACTTAATAACCAAGATGGTTTGGAACCAGAATGCTTCCCTGGTGAGACCACAGAATCTGTATCTTGTGGGTAAGTGTTACTTTTGCCTGAGCTCTTGTAGGAGCAAGCGAGCCACGTCACCATCCCCCAGAGCCCTGTGGGGGAGTAGCAAATGGATATCCCTGACCAGGGGCCCAGCATCAGCCTGTCCAAGGCCAAGAGCTAAATGGATCGGAGGTAGGAAGCCTGGACGGATGGTCTGGTTTCTGCCCTACTCTTCATTTTAGGAAGACAAACAAATACCCAAGAATGACTCGGTGATGATGGAGAGTATCCTCCTAAGCACTGTGAGGAGTGAATTTCTCTTAATGCCCTCATTCTAATCCAGGGAGGAGTTTCTCATCCTACTCCCAAATTTAGGAAGAGGCCAAGCCCCTTACCTCCTAGCACATCACCAGACTGAAAAGTCATCCCTGAACTTTGGTTTCTGTGATTCATTTATTCCTGACTTTTTTCTGCAGTCCTATTCCACTCTTTCTCTACATTTCTTTTGATTCTATTTCACTGTCACTGTGTCGTCTGTTCCATAGCTTATCAGTAGGGGATCCATGAGTGGGACACTTCTCCCTTTATAGGACTGTCCATGCCTGTAACCCCTCCAGTCCCAAGTCACTGTGACATCCAGAAAGCAAAGGAGAGTCCCCAATTCCTATCACCATCGATTTTCTTCCTACACCACCCTTGACAAATGTCTTTAAAATGTAAACTAACAACCTGTGAAATTCATAGTTTGAGATCTTCTCCAGACAGATGACTGTTTCTCGGGGTGCATGCCCAACCAGTCAGCCCTGTTATTCCACATCAACCCCCAGACAGACCTTATTTTAGATTCACTCGGGTGGAAACCTGTGGACCATGTGCTGCTGATACCAACACCCTTCCTCCAAGAACCGTTTACTTGAGCATTTTTTAGCACAAGGAAGTGTCGATCCAACATTAAGACACGGGTACAAAAAAAAAAAAAAAAAAGCCAGGCTCAGAGCAAAAATTACAGATTCAGCCTGGAGAGGGTATTTTTGCTTATCTAATATTTTTTTTTCCTCTTCCCAGTGTGTATCAGCTTTGTGTTTGGCGTATCATCTGCGTTTCCTGGTAAGAGATTTTCTTGGCTTGGCTGAATTTTGTGGAAGGGCCAGACTATTGGGGTGACCATTCAGAAGTCTAAAATGTGGGGAATTTGATTTTTGATCGCAGAACTGTTGCCCATTTTGCTTGAATCCTTTTTCTTAGATTTTCTCAAATACTCTCCTTTTTCTCTGTCAATGGAGTCAAAATTAGCCAAATTTTCATATTTCTCTCTCAGAACTCTTAGAAGAAATTTACACCCCCCCCAAAAGGAAATAAATTAATTAAAATGACACCAGAGGTCATTTTAGAACTCAATAAAAGGGACACCTGGGTGGCTCAGTGGTTGAGCGTCTGCCTTTGGCTCGGGTTGCGATTCCAGGGTCCTGGGATGGAGTCTGGTATCGGGCTCCCTGCTCAGCGGGGAGCCTGCTTCCCCCTTTCCCTCTGCCTACTTGTGTCTCTATCTCTATCTCTATCTCTATCTCTCTGTCACATAAGTAAGATCTTTTTTTAAAAAATTTAAAAATAAGACTCCTTAAAAGAATATTCGATTTCAAACCCCTTAATTGAAGAATGCGAAGGCACAGACTATGTCAAACAGAAAATAATCCAGAAATAATTTCCCCTTCATTTGCACTCTTCCACCTGCTGTCTGGTACCTGGTGCCAGACAAAGGAAAATAATTTTTTTGAACCAAACATCTTGCCTGCATCTATAAATCTGTCCACATAATCTCATTCTGCATTAACTCCGTGTCCAACCTTGTGATGAGGGCAGGAGATGAAGAATTCACAGCCAAGAAGAAAAGTCCTGACTCTAAATCACAGACAAGGGATCCCTGGGTGACGCAGCGGTTTGGCGCCTGCCTTTGGCCCAGGGCGCAATCATGGAGACCCAGGATCGAATCCCACATCAGGCTCCCGGTGCATGGAGCCTGCTTCTCCCTCTGCCTATGTCTCTGTGTCTCTCTCTCTCTCTCTCTCTCTCTGTGACTATCATAAATAAATAAAAATTTAAAAAAAATAAATAAATCACAGACAACTTAGAGGACCATAAAAATTGGATTTGGAAAAAAAAATACTTGAACAGGATTTGACAGGTAGAGCTTTCGAGTCTCACTTGCCACCAGCTTCCCAGCTACATAACATTGTATAACTCAAGTGCTCAGTGTCATATGGTCTGCAGAATGGGTCTCTCACTAGCACTGACTTCGTTTTTTTTAAGATTGTATTTATTTATTCATGAAAGATACAGAGAGAGGCAGAGACGTAGGCAGAGGGGGAAGCAGGCTCCCTGCGGGGAGCCCGATGAGGGACTCGATCCCAGGACCCCGGGATCACGCCCTGAGCCGAAGGCAGATGCTCAACCACTGAGCCACCCAGGGGCCCCTCACTAGCACTGACTTCAGCATTGTTGCTCTGATTAAATGCCTGGGAAGGGCCAGTCAGGGCATGTGTCATCTGCTCCCTCCTTCCATGACCTGGGAGTAAGTGCACAGGAGGTTCAGAGGAGGGAAAGCAGGCAGTGGGCTGAGCTGCTTAGGGAGCCTGCAGGAGGGAGTTGAGAGAATGAGATGGACACGGATCATTTTGATCCAATGAACCACTGAGAGTCCACGATGACTGAGTGAGCCCAATTCTGTTTCCGCGGTGCTGAGTTCTGTTTCCTAAGCTGGCCTGCCCCTAACGATGTGTTGCTCATGAATGATTCTTTGACTTCATTTCTTGTCTCCACTAGAACCACCTCCTTCCTGGGTTTCCAAGACCCCGGGGTTTCTCTGCTGGGCGGGTGGGCTCCAGATCCCAAAGAACAGATGGGACGACCCTGGGTTCCAGATTCAGTGTCTCTTTCTTGTCTCCTGTTTCCTTTAGATTTGTCGGATAAATTTTGCACTTTCAAGGTGACTTTTCAAAATTTCCGGCTAATCTTATCATGGGAATTAAAAAACCATTCAGTTGTGCCAGATCGCTATACATTACGGTACACGGTCATAAGGTTGGTTTGACATCTCATTTTCTTGCTTACTTAAGTATATTAGCTTTCTGTTAATTGGGGAGTGGGGAAGAGTTGTGCCCTGACTTGTGCTGGAGGTCCTCTCTTCTCTCTCACTCTCTCTATTCTGAATTCAGAGCTTTAAAAGGCCAAGTCCATTTTGAATTAAATTGGATACTTTAACAAACCTCAGATTGGCTCTGACAAAGCTTGGATTTATAACCATTTCTACGGGTTAAAGCGGCCGAAGCTAAATAATCACTGTGTATGGTTTTCACAATTACTCCTCTCACTCAGCTAAGCCTGAACATTTCAAGCGCTATTTTCAAGAGAGAAAGAAATAATAAAAGCACTGTTTTCTGAAGACAGGATTCCAAAGATCTGGTGACCAAAGTGATGTTGTGTTCACTTTTCTTTACCCAGAGAGGCATGTGGGCACATCAGAAAGCTGCCTCGTCCAGTCTAGGAGAGGCCCAGGTCCACAGGCTGGGCTTGATTACTGAGCAACCGTGACCTTCGGGCACAGAGCTCAGCTTCTCTGAGCCAAGTGTCCTACTTAGAGGAGGCTGCAAAGATTAATAACATAATGGATGGAGCCCTCAATGGCTTTCTTTTTCCGATGTCTAACATCACCCTTATAAGTTGTTATTTTTATCTAGTTGCCTCTCCAAGTTTCTTTTGTGTCCGTTTATTTGGCTAAAAGCTGTTACTACTACTGACTGGCTTGGTGGAAGGCCTCTTGTGAGTTTTTCTTGTGCCTGCCAAAGTCCTAGTTTCTCTTTGCATTAGGTGGTGACAGGTATCACCCGCCTTACCTTTCTGAAGCTCAAAAAATCAGTGTCTGTGTTGTCCCTACATAGCACAGGCTGACTTAGGACTAGACCATGTGATCCTCAGCTGGAGAGAGGGCTTCAGGGAAGACGCTCATGATTTTTCTGTAGGGGCAGGGAGATCTGGGGCCTTTACCACAAAAGCGTAGGGTTTGCTCATGTGTTTATCCAGCAAATATTTACTGAGCACTGACTGCATGCCAGGGGTCCGACCATAAACCAAGTCCTTGACCTCTTGGAGCCTAGAATAGATATTCTGAAAGTAGGCAGATATCAATGAACAAATAAAGATATAATGTGGTAGGGGCTGGTAAACAATGTGCAGAAAAATAAAGACAGGCAAGAGGGATTAGGAAAGAAGAGGGTAAGGAATCCCAGTTTAAATAAGGTGGTGAGGGCAGATGACTTGGTATAGTGATATTTGGGCAGAGCTGTAACGAAATGAAGAAGTTAAAAAAAAAAAAAGAAATGAAGAAGTTGATCATGCAGTTAGTGGATTCTCATCATATAAATGTTGAGGTTTTCCTTTTGCCATTTCTTTTCCTTCTAAAGTAGACCAGACCAGGTGAAGATTGTTGAGCACTGTTCAAATACCACAGCATCATCTTGTGACCTAACAGACGTGTGGGAGGTCCTGCCCGAGACCTACGCCATCAGAGTTGATGGATTCAGAGGGAACACAACGCTGGTCCAGTGTAGCAGCGATTTATTCCTGGTAACACACAGTGAGTAGATCTCTGTTTTTCATCACCATCATTGTCATCAAGATCATCGTTATTTGCTTTGCCTTGAAATAGGAAGGTCCTCAAAGGTGTCTCAGACTCAGGGCTAGGTGCACCACTTGGCCCTGCCACTTCCTAGCTCTGGAACTGTGAAGCATTTACATTGCCTCTCTGAGCCTCCGTTTTCTCATCCCAAAAGTGGAATGATAATCTGTACTTGGCAGAGGATTCTTCTCGGCCTGTGTGAGGCAGGCATTCTGGCAGCAATGGCCGTGGCTTTCTAGTATATTTCAGAGCCCAAGAGGAAGTAGACAGTGAGGTCTTGATGGCCTGAATCTGAGCTGTCGCAACTCTTTGGGTCAGTGTTTTCCTTCATACTGCAACCCCTCCCCTGGATCATAACCCAGTAGCTCTTATCTGTGTGAGTGGGTCTGTCTCTCTCTTCTTTTCCAATGACTGGAGTCAGCTCCCTATGGCACTTGCATTAATAGCTCCAGGGCAGTTGCCAGTGGTCCTCAGCCAGACTCCAGCACTTCTTCAGTGTCCTAATTTGCAACCTATTTCCAAAAGAAAGATTCCATTTCAGCTCCCTGTTAAAGGCTGTGTGGGTGTGCACTCACACATACATGCTTTAGCAAAGTGATAATGACCAAATCCCACTGCCGCCAACAACTTAGATGTGAGGTTCATTGGAATTGGGTGTGTACATTTAGGTGTGTGTATACATCTACATACCTGTGGGTGTCCAAAAAAGAAAAGAAAGGAAAGCGCCACTTCTAGATTATGGTATTCAGACTATTGCAAAAAATATGTTAAAGTAAAAATGAGATGTCATTTTTCAAGACCCCGTAAATATTAAAACTATCTAGCTACCCAGATGTAGAGGAAACGCAGGGAGTGTGCCACAGTATGGTCTTTCTGAAAGTATTTGGCAGTATGTGTTAAAACCTTAATGTGTGCCTCCTCTAATCTAGAATTCCTCTTTAATAATTCATTCTAAAGAAATAATTGTGGATGAATGTCATGATTTAGCTCCAAGAATGCTCATTGACACAATGATTCTATTCAGAAAATTTAGAGACTATCTAATGTTCAAAACAGCAAATCAATTAAGTTATGGTCCAGCCAGCCACTTAGTGGAATAGAATCAACCATTGAAGAGTCACAGTGAACATCAGGGGTCAGCCAACTTCCCATAAAGGGCCAGAAAAGAAATACTTTAGACTTTATGGGCCACATATCATACACTATATCACCTTCTTTAACTGTATTGCAACCCTTCCCAAAATAAAAACCACTCTGAACTGGCAGGCCGTGCAGAAATCTAACTCACAGGCCAGTTGGCCAGCCCTCAATAGAGATAAATATGCATTAATGTATTTATGAAATGAGTTAAGTGCAATATATACCATGCAAAACTGTGGGTAAGAATGATTTAATTTAGGTGTGTGTTGTACACTAGTTCAGCTTATATACGTATGTATATATATTTACATTCATACATTAGAGACAAAAGATGGTTAACCACATTCAGGCACAATTGCCTACTGTGTTTTCTACTATTTCCACAATAGTTAGGTATTACTATAATATGAAAAGAAGTCATTTTTACTTTCATATTTGGAATACAGCTTGAAAATTGGGAAAGACTGACTTTCATCCCAAAACCTATCCTCCATTTCTCCATTAAGTAATTACACCACTTTTATTGTTCTCAATTTTTCACCAATAAAAATGTATAACCCATGCCTCGACTAGGACCATAAAGAGAAGATAGTTGTCTCCCTGTGAAAATTGATGTGAGAAACAAAGGCAGAAGAGAAATTATTAAATTTCCTTACTCCCTACAGCCCATTGACAAGTCCTTCAAACAGGCAGAGTGACATTCCTATAGGGACTCAACTGCCTCGATGTTAAGGTAATACTTTGCTAAAGGCAAAAGGCAGTCTTAGCCCAATCTCCGGGATCCTGGAAGTCTACTTTAACATATGAAAATTCCTTTAGAAATTTCTTTTATCTCTAAACCCCACAAGATACGTGTTGGCAATCACCCCCCAAGCATATGACCCACCGATACACATCTGAAGGGTCTCATGACTAAGGTTTTACTAGACAGTAATAAATGACCTTTTCCCAACAATAGCTGGCTCCCTCAAGGTCCTGGAAACCTTGCTTCCAAAATTCCTTAGACACACTCTCCCTAACCCCCTCCCAACTTAAGAGTATATCATGGGCCACTCCTCATGACCCCAGTGCAACTCTTTCTGCAGGACAGGAGTCCTGTCCCCATGCTTTAATAAAATCACCTGTTTGCACCAAAGAGAGAGAGAGAGAGAGGGGAGATAGTTGTCAAGAAATCAGGTTGTATTACAGCCCTGGAAATACTACTGTTAAACATTGGGATTTGTTTCTGATTTTGTTTTTTAAACAGTGTCTTTGGAATCACCAGAGTTTGATATTGTTGGCTTTACCGACCACATTAATGTCCTAGTGAAATTTCCACCTGTCATTCCCAAGATACTAGGTGGAGGAGTATTAGAGTTTTACTTATCACTCATCATCGAAGAACAGTCAGGGAACATTGTCAAAAAGGTAAGTGGTCAAAACAGTTCTGAGTTGGCAATGAATATATTCGACGCTCTTCTTTTAAAAAAGACATTTGTAGGGGCACCTGTGTGGCTCAGTTGGTTGGGCATCTGCCTTCAGCTCAGCACATGATCCTGGAGTTTTAGATAAGCCCTGCATTAGACTCCCTGCTCAGCAGGAAGTCTGCTTCTCCCTCTGCCCCTCCCCCTGCTCATGCCCTCTCTCTCTCTCTCTCTCTCTCTCTCTCTCTCGCTCTCTCTGTGTATGTCTCTCTTTCTCTCTCTCATATAAATAAATAAAATTCCTTTAAAAAAAAAAGACATCTGTAATCATTAGAACAATTAGGGCCAAAAGGCAGTGGGTCTGATTTTAGGAAAGAAGTCTCTATAGTTCCTTCATTGTGGAAATACATTGACTTAGCCTAGCAGTGTGGTCTTCTTTCAAAGAATAAGTACCTTGCACAGCATCAGGGGACACACAGGAAAGAGAAAGGAGTGTAGTGTAGATAAAGAGAACAGGCTAATTTCAGCACACACTAGGTGAAATTCCAGAATGCTGGAATGAGTGAAGTGGCCCTGCCATAAGAGCAGCTTACGTTGGCATAGCCCATTGCCAAGTATAAACCTTTGCAAGCAATACCAGCCTGCAAGTTATCAGGGGCAGGCACGGGCTTTTCAGGCAAAGGGCACAGGAAGTCAGAGGTCCTGAGGCTGCAGAGGATCCAGTGGATTTGAGAAGCAGCAGAGAACTGGAATGGAATGACCGAGACAGGAAAGTAGAAGGAGGTGAGGTCAGAAAAGCAATGGAGCCCAGATCTGATAGTGCTTTGTGGGTCTGTGTCTTTGGGAGTGTCCCGAAGCTGCTGGAGGACCTGAGGCTTTAACAGGGACTCCAGCCCAGTGTGTTGAGAATAGAGCATAGGGGCCAAAGGTGGAAATTGGGAGACCAGTTAAGAGGCTATTGTGATGGTAATTACCCAATAGGAAGTAGCAAATTATAGAATTATAATTTTCCCTTTAATATCCACTTGGATTACAATCAACACCCTAATCCTTTGATTAGGAAAAGGGTGCAAAAAATAAGAGGGGAGAAATGAGCTTATGTAGCTCAGAGACTGTATCAAGTTTCTTTAAATATCACAATCCAGTCACATCTAATTTATATTCAACCCATGAGCTACTAACTCTTTTTGAGATTATTATTTCTAAAATAAGAACGCTGTGCTTATTAGGATATTGACAACACTGTAAGACAAAAATGGTGGTTAATGAGCATCTTCTTCATTAAAGAAAAATAGTCTTGGGGTTAAATTAGACCTAGAAAAAAAGAAGAGGCTACTGTTGGAATCCAGGTGACAGCTGGTGGTGGCTTGGACCACTTGGCAGTAATGAGAAGTGGTCAAACTCTGCATATGTCTTGCAAGTGGAGCTGTTTTTGAATGGATCGGATGTGCACTGTGGTGAAGAGACAAGAGCACCTCGATAGATGGAGTTTCCATTCGTTAAAATGGGGTGGATTATGGATGGAGGAGGTGAATGGTTGGATATCAATAGCTTGGATTTGGATATGTAAAATTTGAAGTACCTGCAAGGCATCCAGGAGGAGATAGTGAGCAGGAGTTGATACTCCAAAGCTGGAGTTCAAGGGAGAGCTTCTAGCTGGAGAGATGTCTGAGGGAGTCACTGGCTTCTTAATGTGTATTGATACCTTGAGATGAGGCAAAATCACCCAGAAGTGCATATGCAGAGAGAAGAGAAGATGTCCAAAGTCAGAGCCCCAGAGGACTCCAAAATGTACAGCTCTAGCAAATGAAGAAACAGCAAACAAGACTGGGAAGGAGCAACCAGCAGGGTAGAAGGAGAAGTAGATGAGAGTGAGGTCCTGGTGGCTGAAAGAAGAAAGTTCCAGGAGGAGAAAGTGATCTCCTGTGTCCGGTGCTATAAATGAGACACGTGACGCCAGGACTATAGATTGACTATTGGATTTAGCAACATGAAAGTCCTGGTGACCTAGATAAAGAGTGATTTCTTATCAAGTGAGGCTCCGATAGGAGTGGAACCCAGAACGAAAAGAAAGAGAGAAATTGGCCTGGTCTGTTGGGGTGAGGCTCCGGCAGGAGTGGAACCCAGAAGGAGAAGAAAGAGAGAAATTGGCCACAGGGAGGAGAGCTAATTCTTCTAAGGAGTTTTTCTATAAAGAGGAGAGGTTCTCTGTGATGGAAGGTGAGGTCAAGGGAGGGAAGAAGTTATGGCATGTTCCTGTGCAGATGGGATGTTCCAGGGAGATCGCTGGAGCCATGTTATAGAGATGAGTATGGATGGAATCTCATGAGCACAAGAAGGGGTTGACCTTGGCTTGGAGCAGGGGCCGTACATCCGAGGCACAGTGGGAGAGGCAATGTCCTCAGGCACAGAGGCAAATAGAAGCAAGCTTCTGTTTGCCTAGTGAAACAGGAAGCGAACACTGCAGACCCCATCAAGATCATACAATGGCAACACCAGGTGTGGGACCCAGACATTCTGACCCTCCGCTACCATTGGCTATTCTCTTCGAGGCAAGAGCCCTCCCGCCATGACCCGATTTCTACTTCTCTCCCCTTTTCCTTCTCTGTTGCTTATGGGCCATGCATGAGATTTTAGTTTGTTAGGGCTTTTCCTTTCCTTTTTTAATTCTTCCTCCTTCCACACAGAAACTTGCAGAAAAACATTATACAGAAGGCCATATTTGGACCACTGGAAATCTTAATCCCTAGAACTGCTAGTATTTTGAAAACTATAAAATATTTTGCAGAAGCTTTTTTTTAATGTTTTATTGTTTTAATTTATTTTTAAGATTTTATTTATTCATGAGAGCCACAGAGAGAGGGAGAGACGCAGGCAGAGGGAGAGGTAGGCTCCTCACAGGGTCCATTCCAGACCCCGGGATCACACCCTGAGCCAAAGGCAGATGCTCAGCTACTGAGCCACCCAGGCATCCCAGAAGCTGTTTTTCTTGAAAGGGCCTTCATATCATCTCTTTTAATTCCAAAATGGAACAGAACTACCTAAGAAAGAAGAAGCCAGGTGTTTTAAGGGAGGAGATAAGAAATTAGGCATCAGCCACAGTTCTGCCACAGGCAAGCTGTGTGGCCTTGGAAAGTTACCTAACAACTCTGAGCAGTAGTTTCATCATCTGGAGAATGAGGATAGCACCAGCTTTGCGGACTGTTTTAATAATTACATTCATTAATATTATGAAAGCACCTCCTGAAGGGCAGACATATATCATTAATGATAAAAGATCATCTTTTTTTTTATTCTCTTAGTTTTGCAGGATTATCTTAATGCGAGACAAAATCATCTTGTAAAAAATGATGTCATGGAAAACTTTATTCCTCATTGAAACTTTTTCTACTCATTTATAATATGAAGCTGCTAGATTAGATTTCATGGTTTGAAAATGTGCGTGGTATACACATACATGCAGTTTTGTCATCAGTTGCTGGCGCCAAATAACTTTATTTTTTTTAAGTTTTTTTTAATTTTTTTTAAGATTTATTTATTTATCTATTCATAGAGATGCAGAGAGAGAGAGAGGCAGAGACACAGGCAGAGGGAGAAGCAGGCTCCATGCAGAGAGCCTGACGTGGGACTCGATCCAGGGTCTCCAGGATCACACCCTGGGCTGCAGGTGGCGCTAAACCGCTGCCCCACTGGGGCTGCCCGCCAAATAACTTTAAAATACTTTCTCCTTTGGGGCCTAAGATATTTCTCTCCTTGTTTAAGATTTCCATGTGAATCCCCAAAGTGACTCTTAGGGCCTGCCTCTAAATGAATTTCTCACTCAAAGTCTTCCTGATTTTTTGCTTCTTTTTACAGCATAACCCCAAACTAAATGAAAACATCACTGGAAATTTCACTTACGTCATCGACAAGTTACTTCCAAACACCAACTACTGTGTATCTGTTTACTTTAACCCTAGAAATCTGGGAGCAGTACATAGATCTCCAGTAAAATGTATCCTCCTTCAGCCTGGACAAGAAACAGGTATAGGTTTTTAAAAATTCATGTGTTATTTTACTCTGCGAGAAAACTTAGTTAATGAAAATAATCTGAAAGTCATAGAGCATGAAAGGTATTTCTTCCACTGAAAGTGCATCACAGAGATGTGTTCTGTTGGTCAGTCTCTACTATGACATGGAGTCATTTTGAAGGCACCATACCATCAAGACAGTCCCATATCTACCTTTAAAAAGTCAGATCCTCCTGAAGTAGAAACAATTCTATTTCAGGGAATGAGGATGAAATTCAGTTCTGAGTGCCCTTCGCTTGGCTATTATTCAAGCCAAGTGCTGGAGGAGGCAGGGTTCCTGGAAGCAATTGCACGCAGAGGTATCAGAGGCTCAAATTATGGTCGTTGAGTGTGGCTCATTGATGTGGCCTGGCTCGCAGGAAGGTTGGCGATAGCTCCAAATGGAAGGAAAACTCACCAGTGTGTGTGAGATAGTCCCTAAAAACGACTGAAAAGTCCTCTGTTTCAAAAGCATCAGAACAATAAACAGTGTAGTCCATGAACCTTCCCCCAATGGAGAAATCTGCAGTGAGAACAGTCAGGCTTAGGAGTATTCACTGCTGATTATTGGCCTAGGAAGTAACTAGGTCTCTAATTGCTTCACCAAAAGTGAATATCTCCACGGAAGAAGCCTTTCTGAATTTCCCCATGAGAGTTTCTTTAACCTGCTGACTTACCACAGTAGGGACAAAATAAGCCAAGAGAAGGAAGCAACCTTAAGTGGTATAGCTGATTTGTGGACTAAGTGAACCACACTCCACGGTGCCTGGTGCCTGGTGGACTAAGGTGCTGGGTCTGATTTTACGACTCTCTGTTCCTCAGCATTGAATGATGCACATTTATTTGAGATTTTATTTTTGAGATTTTATTTATTTATTCATGAGAAACACAGAGAGAGAGGCAGAGACACAGGCAGAGGGAGAAGAGGCTCCATGCAAGGAGCCCGATGCGGGACTCAATTCCCAGACCTCAGGATGAGGCCCTGAGCCAAAGACAGATGCTCAGCCCCTGAGCCACCCTGGCGTCCCTGCACAGACCAGTCTTAAAGGAAATAAAGTATCTCCTTTAAAGTATCGTTAAAGGAAAAAGGCCTTAGCTTAAATCATTATTATAGTGTCAGTTAAATACGAGCAAACCTAAACTTGCATATAAATTCATTATGCCTGTAGCTCTTACAAAAATGTGAACCCCAAACACATTTACATATTTATGTCCTTGGACCAATTTTCCAGCATCAGCTGGGTGTCCAACAATTCGATTCATTTCTGACACTCTCTGGAGTTAATGCAGGTCCCCACAGGTGAAGAGGCTAAGTCTCTCAGGACTGCTCCCCCTTTAAGGTACCAGCTCCAAGTCTGGCCACCCAGACTTCTGTCTGAGGTGGCTACAAATTCAGAGCTCCCCACAACCTCCCTTCTGATTTAGTAGTGCAGGAGCTTCTGTCCCCTGGGAGTCAGGGGGCACCACCCTCCCAATACTTCCATGTGTTCACCGACCTAGAATCTCTCCAAGCCTGACTATCCACAGTTTCTACTAGGTTTCATTACATACACAGGATTGATTAAATCATCATCTGTTAGTGAATAACATGCGATCTCCAACCCCTCCTCCCTTTTCCAAAGGTCAGTGGGTCCAGAAGTTCCCACTCTCTAATGACTAGATTGGTTTTTCATGTGCCCAGCCCCCATTCTGGAGCTATCCAGCACTGTCCTGGACTTACCTCATTAGCATAAACTCAGATATGGTCTCCCAAAGACACTCATATCACTCAGGAAATTGATACTCTGTGTCAAGTACCAAGAGTAAAGACCAGATATTTTATTATTATTATTATTATTATTATTATTCTGTGATCTTATAAACAAAACCCCAAAACCAGTTGAATGGACAAATTATTTTTCTCCCCTACTCATAGAATACTTCTGTACTCCATTTGTGTGGGGGTGTTCCCCACATGGAGCAACCCTCCCGCACCAGCTCAGAGTCCTACAATCTAACTCAATTCTGACGCCATCTACCTGGTGTTAGAGACTCCACTCACAAGACTGCCCCCACCAACACTTCAAATGCCAGTTGCAGGTCAAAGTTGTCACCTCGGTGTCAGATTGAAGATTCTCACGGCCCCCTCCTTGGGTCTGATAATTTGCTAGAGTGGCTCTCTGAACTCAGGAAAACCATTTCTTTACCACGTTCCTGGTTTATTATAAAATGATACAACTCAGAAACAGCCTAGGTGAAAGAGCCTCTATGCCCTCTTAGAGCACATCACCCTCCTAGCTTCCCATCCCAGAAGTTCTCAGAACCCCGGGTTTAATGCAGACTTCATTACAAAGGCAAGACTGACTAAATCTTTTGCCGTTGCAATTAATTCACCCTCCAGTCCCTTTCTTGCCCCCAGAGGTCCAGGGTTGAAAGTTCCAACCCTCTAATCTTCGGTAGGTTCACCTGGCAACCAGCCTCCACCCTTAGGGGCTTTCCAAAAGTCATCTCTTTAATAGTAAACTCAAGTGTGGTTGAAGGAGCTTGGTTATGAACAACAAAAGACACTCCTTTACCTTCCTTGCTCTTATCACTTAGGAAATTCTTAGGGAATTTCAGAGCCCTATGCCAAGAATCGAGGATAAAGACCAAATATATATATATATATATTTTATTATAAATCACGAGATCACCAATAAGAGACTCAAATTGGTAACATGACATGACAGACAGGGATTTGCTGAAACCCAGTCCCCATCTGGAAGACGAATATACGACTGACCTTCTTTGAGGTTGATATGCTCTGTGATGGTTCAGTTTCTCCCCTGACTTTTCTGTTTCACCCTCTAAGAAATGGTCACGCAGCCCCACGTTGTCATGTCATCATGTCATCGTCACTTGGTGTGAACACATCATTTTGCATGTGAAATCAGCCTCCTTTCTTGTATCATTACCCAAGACAGTGCAAGAACAGATATCCCTCACGACCCAAGTATCTGATATCTTAGTTCTTACTGTCTGAAACTCAGGAGTTTCACATAACCTGGATGCCTCACTGCCCAGACTTGCCATCTAAACTACCTTCAACTAGCCCAACTTGGGAACCAAGACAGGTTTGGATGATAGGGGATTCTTGAAAGACCACCTGGGACCAGTGTTAACTTCCTCAGACTCGGAGATGAACATTGCTATCTTAGGGGGTTACTGATCTGGCGGGGGGAGTTCAGTCCAGAGATCTAGAGAAATGTCTCCACTCTGTTCAAGTCCTGAATCAACTGGTTGGCTCTTTCAGGAAGCCTTCAAAGGAAAGCTGTGTTCAGCCATTTGACAAATACTTATTTGAAGATCTACTCTATGCTGGATTCTTTCATAGATGCTTGGGAGGCAGCAGTGAACAAAACAAATAAAACCAAACATTCCAGACCTCGTGGAGCTTATGTTGCTGTAGAGAGATGGAAAAACAAAATTTAAAAAGCAACTTGCAGTTAGAAGGTTGAGATTTTCCAAAAGGAATTTCGACAAGAAACTTATGGGGGCCTCAGTAGGACAGAGCAGGTTCTGTAGAGCCCTGGTGTGGCCAAAGTCCAGCCTCAGAATGACCCAGTTATTTCTTTCAGACGAACTCTTCTTTTCCACGTCTTCCTGTCTCTAGGGCATCCTGTTAAATAACAGACCTTCAAGTAAATTTTAAAGATCTAATTGGCTCGATTGAATGATTCCTGAATGGGGGAGCATCCCATCTAACAAGTAGAAATGAGCCCCGAAAAACAAAAAACAACAAAAAAAAGAAAAAGAAAGAAAGAAAAGAAAAGAAATGAGCTCCAAAGGGCTGCAGAGAAGGAAAAGGTTTTTAAAGGCAGGACAAGGAAGTCAAACAGAAAAAAGGACTTTGGAGTGAGGTCACCTCTCTTTGGGGGACAAAAGGGTCTTATTCTAGTAGGTGGATTACCTCATGGTGCTGAGTGGGAAATTCCAGAATGAGCAGTAAAGATTACAGTCCTGGGGAGGGTTGAAAATGCAATCAGTTATGAAGCCCCAGTAGTGGCTGCATGGGCCAGGCATAAGTGACTTCATTTTAGGCCTAGGGTTTTCTTTTTCTTTTTCTTTTTCTTTTTTTTTTTTTTTTTTTGACAGTACTAACAGATGGCTATGGAGCATTTGAGATGTGGCCAGTATGACCGAGAAGCTGAGTTTGATGGGGTTTTGTTTCATTTTTTTATTTTTTTTTTCAGTTTTGGTAATATAAATTTAAGTAACCACATGTGGCTTATGGCTACTGTGTTGGGGAGTGCAGTCATAGAACATTGTTAGACTAGAGGACATTTTACTTTGAAAAATTAAATCTGCCACTTTTACCCTTGGAAAACTATGTATACTCGGATTCCTTTCCATTCTATTGTATTGAATGATAGTTTTTCTAACATCGGCTCCTGTGTGTGTGTGTGTGTGTGTGTTTTAAGATTTTATTTATTTATTCATGAGAAACACAGAGAGAGAGAGAGAGAGAGAGAGAGAGAGAGAGAGGGGCAGAGACACAGGCAGAGGAGAAGCAGGCTCCACACAGGGAGCCAGATGTGGGACCCGATCCCGGGACTCCAGGATCACACCCTTTGATACCTCATTCCACCATCAGCCCAATGTGATCTGTGATCATTTATTAACGGGTTTATTTTGAAATAAAGTCATTTCATTTTTCATCAACAGAGTCATCAGAATCTGCCAAAATAGGAGGAATAATTACTATGTTTGTAATAGCGGCTGTCATCGTAATCACCATAATAATACTGAAACGTGTTGGTTATATATGCTTAAGAAATCATTTCCCCAAAGTTTTGGTATGTAGTCTTTTTTTTAAGTTCTATCTTCATCTTTTATTTTAATTTAAGGGTTTTTATTACACTTTCAAATATTTTCACAGCAGGAAAAAAATCCCATTTTCTAAAAACACCAAGCTGTTTTATCACTGAGTGATCCCCAAATATATATATGTACCTAGATTTCCGTTTTCTGTTTATACTTTGCCCACATAATATTCTTAATGATCACATAGTATTTCATTGTCATTAGTGTATTTATTATCTTTCCCTTAACCATTTTCCAACTGTAGGGCATTTGAAATGATTTCCTTTCTTTTCTTTTCTTCTTTGGCCTTTATGAATATTGTAATATGTTTCATTTTTTATAAAGTTTGGGCTACTTCAGTGGAACATGTACACAAAGTGGATTTATCTTATGAAAAGATAAAGGATTAATTTATAATGCCAGTGGTGACCAGTAAGTACACACATTTCCCCATAACTCTCCTGATGTTGACTAATCATTTTTACGACTTTGGTTGATATAATGTGTGTATAAAGGTCACCCACAGTTGCTCTCATTCGTGTTACTTTAATTACTAGTGAAACCAGCCATTCTGTGTGCCTTCGTTTTTCCCTCTGTCCTTCCCAAAGTACACGCTTTCTGCTCGGGACCCTCAACCACTCAGACAAAGCTGGGTATTGATCTTACATATTTCCAAAACCTCCTCGTGTCCTTTGACACTTTGGCCCATTATTTATCATTTTCTCTGTCCGATTCCTGTCTCTCTATATTCGTTTTATAATTTTTCATCCAGAAAGATCTCATTTTTCTACGTTTGAAATTTCGCCTTTTTCTTCACACGTTTTAACAACCACATACTTCAGTATTCCTCTACAGTCGATAAAATTATACTCTTCTTTTCCTCATCCTTATTTGTTTGGTTTGGGTTGGGGGAGGGATTGTTTTTTGGAGGGGGATGCTTTGGGAAATTTTAATTACAACTGGTATTTGAACCCAGCCGGCATCTGGCTGTGCTGTACTGCATTTCATCCACACTGTAATCCTTGCAATTCAAGAATGGACTTTTTCTTTTTAAGATTTTTTTTTATTTATTTGAGAGAGAGCACGGATGTGAGCACATAGTGGGGAGTGGCAGAGGGAGAGAAAGAATCTCAGGCTGATTCCCTGCTGAGCAGGGAGCCCAACTCAGGGCTCAGTCCCAGGACTCCAGGATCACAAACTGAGCTGAAACCAAGAGTCAGACACTTAACTGATAGAGCCACCGAGGCGCCCCAAGAATGGATATTTTTTATCCTTGGTATAAAATATCTTTTGGAGTCTTTTATGTCAGCAGCCAGTTGCAGCCTTATCTCAACCTAAATCCACCTCATCCTGTCTGCTGTGTATTTATTCCTTTGGCCTTGAGGTTCTAAGCAAATCCTACTCCAATTCATATTTCTCATTGCAGCCTTGAGATAGACCTGTAGCACCACACCCGTTTCCTCCTAGATAAATCCTCTGCCTGAATTACCTAACTGGTTACTAATACTCCCCCCAGATCTCCCTGAGTTTCTCCCCTTCCTAAGATTCATCCAAATTATATGCTAATTATATATATATATCCTTGTTATTTATTGTGTTGACCCAAGTACTGAGAGGAGGTATTGGTAACTTCTGTCTTTCCAGTATTCCTTCATTAAAAATTGTTGCTCTGTGTCTAAGTAAAAACTCTAGGAAGGACAAAACAAACACTTAAGCCTAGTGTATTTGTTTAATCAAGAATACATGTTGCAAGATTTTTAATGGCATCTTTTTTATTCTTTTCTCTTTGGTTCTTTTTTGATGTTGTTGTTTTTTTGCATTTAACAAATATTTATTGAGTACCTACCATATGTCCACATGTTCTAGGTGCTAGGGATACAGAAGTGAACAAAAACAGAAAATGCTGCCTTCGTAGATTTTAAAGTCTGCGGAGTAAGGGTAGAGACAATGACAGTTTATAGATGATACAACTGGTGAAGTAAAAAATTCACATGAATCTAGAGATAAATTATTAGGATTAATAAGTTTGACAAATTTGATACATACGAAATAATATCAGTATGAAAATATATAAACATGGACCTACTTTTCAACATCCAAGACATATACATATCATATCGTAAAGCTCTGTGAATTTTCACAAACAAGCACACATGTAACTCATGCCTAAATCAAGAAAGATAACATAATCAGCCTGCCCAGAAGTCTCTCTCCTGACACCTTCTAGTAAGTACCCCCCACCAAGGATAACCATTATCCTGATCACTGAACTTTTTGTAGTTAAGTGGAATCACAGAGTTTTTTTAAAAATACCACTATAGGGGCACCTGGGTGGCTCATTCAGTGAAGTGTCTACCTTTGGCTCAGGTCATGATCTCAGGGTCCTGGGATGGAGTCCTCATTGAGGCTCCCTGCTCAGCGGGGAGTCTGCTTCTTTCTCCCTCCACCCCTCCCCCCTGCTCATGCTCACTCCCTCTCTCTCACACACACACTCTCAAATGGATACATAAAATCTTTTAAAAAATTGTTTTGATAAATAAAAATAAAGATACCATTGCAATAGTAATAAAATTACTCTTAAAACATTTCAGAAATCAATCTAATAGAAGATATTACAGATCCTTTGTAAAGAAAATTATAAAACTTTATCAAAAGACTTTAACAGAGATTTGGTCAAGTAGAGAACCCAGAATCAGACCACCCACACATATGGAAACATGACTAATGATGAGTAGATATTGCCATGGGGAAAGGATTGGCTGGTCAATAAATATATCTATATGGGAGAATATGAAATTGGGTCTCTCCCTCACACCATACATAAATATCGGTTCCAGGTATATTAAAGACTAATGTGAAAGACAAAACTGTTAGAGTTTGAGGAAGCACCATAGGAGATTCTGTGTGACCTTGGGGTAAGGAAGATTCCCTCAGACATAAAAAAAAAAAAAAAAAAAAAAAAAAAAAAAAAAAAAAGCAGGAACCATAAAGGAAGAACATCAGTACATTTTTTTTTACATTACATTAAAATTAAGATTTTCTTTTCATCGAATGCCATTGAGGTTGTAGAATAATAAACCACAGGCTAGGGGGAAATATATGTAACAAATAATGATAAAACAAATAATCAACAAACCATTAGCATCCAGATTATATAAAGAGCTCCTACAAATCAATAAGAAAAAAAATGAACAACCCAATTGAAAAATTCACCCCAAGGCTGTGTTGGGTAGGATAGAGGAAGAGCAGGTTTGTCAAACTGAGCAACCCAGATAGGCATAGGAGAATAGAGAAGAAGACAATGCAGATGACGATTCCAGGTTGATCACCTCCTCCCCATTAGCTTTATGGTCGTGAACCTAGAGCAGAATCCACCAACACGGCAAGACTCAGTCTGCCTTGTATTCTCCATAGCTCACCCCTCTCACCTGTATCCTGGCAGTGCTTTGTTCTAAGAGCTGTGATAGAGCGAGCTCTAGTCTTGCCATTCTCACCCCTGACTCTAGGGATCTCCTGCCTCCTTAAGACCCTCTCTCCAGTCCAGGGGGCTGTGACCCCGATGGAATTGGCTCCCTTAGAGTCTCTCCTCACCCACAGTTCCCTGGCATCCTTTAAGAATGTCTTGACAGCCCAGAATCTAACTGGATGGGTACTCTGACATGCAAGAAGCAGCAAGGGGAGCACAGTAGGCAGGAGTAGAAGCCAGAACCTCGTCTCTGCTGCAGGCAGCCTACCTAGCTTGAAATCCAGCCTCCCCCACTCACTATTCATGAACCTTGGGTAAATTGCTTCACCTCTCTGTCTCATTTTCTCATCTGTAAAATGGGGATAAGAATCGTGAGCCTACTGCGTGGCATGGCTGTGAGGGCAAAATGCATTATAATGAGTAAGCAGTAGGACTTATTTGCCCAGCAAATAGTAAATACTACATAACCGTTAGCTCCTTTTACTGATTCTGCTGGCATCAGCACCGCCATCCTCACCCCTGTGCAGTTACTGTCATTGAGCTATGTTATGTCAAAAAGTAAAGAACACTTACAATTGATATTCTCTCTCTCTCTCTCTCTCTTTTTTGTTAAGAATTTTTATAACTTCTCAACCTGGGTATTCCCTGAGATGCCACCATTAGAAACAGTGGCTTTCGTGGAGGTGATTCACGTTAACAGGAAGAAGAAAGTGTGGGATTATAATTATGACGACGAGAGTGATAGCAATGATGATACAGCAGCCCCTCAGACAAACGCAGGTGGCTATACCATCCATGGACTGGTGGGCAGGCTTCTGGGTCCAGCCTCTGCCTCCTCGGCCACCCCAGAGGACTGCATGGAGCCGGACGCTGAGGAACCTGACCCATCGGAGCCTGACACTGACATTGACACTGAGCCCCTGGTGCCATCCGGGCCCAGCCCGGGGCAGTCAGAAAGCACAAGTGGGGCCTATGAGTGCAGAGGGAAGCAGCTCCAGGATCCCATTACTGAGGAGGACAGCTGGTCCACTGGAGGGTCTGGGGACAAAATTACCTTCAATGTAAATCTAAGCTCTGTTTTCATGAGGGTCCTCGATGATGACTCAGAGGTCCCTCCAGGGCTACCAAGTTTTCCAGAAGAGACATACAACCTACAGGAGTCCCACAGACTGGAAACAAGTTCGCTGGCGGCCAGCGGGGAAGGGACACAGCCCCTCTTCCCCACCCCCTCTGCAGAGTGCCAGTGGCCTGAAGATGTTCTTTCTGATGAAAGTGACAGTTCTGAATCAGATGTTGACATTGGAGATGGCTATATAATGAGGTGAACCCCCAAATATTTCCATGGACTGACAGATACCTCCAGAGTTTCCCTCCATGCACTGTCACTTGCTCCTTTGTGGTTTGCAAGTGTTCCCGCAGGGATGGTGTTGGAGACCAAGGTGGGCGCTCAGGGTTCCTGGTGACGTCGTCTATGCAAAGTTTATGCAAATTACCAGCCTGGGAGGAGAGTCTGGAATTCTAGGACTATTCAGCACAAGTCCCATTGTTTACATGTCCCAAGTGATGCACTTTGAAGGGGAAATGTCCTGTCCAGTCCCTTTACTCTCCTGCCTTTATGTTTCTGCATCCTATCTCCCAGAGTAAGGAGCAGGCTTCCCTGGGGTTTGCAGGGGTGGTCCAGGGCCCTACAAGATTTCTGGGAAATCATGAAATTGGCCAGGGTGGGAGTGGGGAGAGAAAAGCTAGACGCTCAGTATGGTTGATAGAGGGAGCAATCAGCAGTGTTGAGTCCAGCAGGCTCAAGGAAGGAGCCAGAAGGCAGGCCGGAAAAGAGAAGGAAGGGAAGGTAGCCAGAGAGAAAGGAAGGGGACCTACAAAGAAACAAAAGCACAGGTTCCAATTTGGAAATAGGGAAGGTCCGCCCAGTCTTAGGCTCCTCCCAGATGTCACATTCTGTCACCTACACTCAGAGAATTGCACCCCTGGCCGTTTGTCCAGATGGCCTCAACTGGAGTCTGGAGGAACTCCAGTCTGGAGGAAGACAAACTCACACACAGAAATAACTCTAGCATCTGGCAGGTGACTAATAGGAGACATTTGCATGAGGGAGAGGGGTAGAGACTCAGAGCCAAACTGTAAGATTAAAAAAAAAAAAAAAAAAAGAGCGAGAGAACAAATGCAAAATTGTTTCAAGGTCTTCAGAAGAAATAAGGCATAAAATTCCCGGAGATCCTATTTAACAATTTAAGAAGCGCTGTGTGCACTGATTCCACATGTCCTGTGTGTGACCACAGTTCCTGTGGATGGTGGGGAGGGGGAAGGGAAGTCCCAGAACATCATGGAGCAAACCAGACAAGAACTGGGACTCAGGTCTGACTCAGCTGCTATTTCCCTGTGGGACCCTGGGTACTTTGCTTTGCCTCTCTGAGCCTGTTTCTTCATTTAGGAAGCAAGGGGATTGGACTAGGTCATCTCCAAGATCCTGTGGTGCTAGGAGAAATATTCAAAAATACACAGGGTTGAAGACTCCGGTGAAGGTGCTGCAACCCTGAGAGACCCCTCACAAGGTGAATCAACTGTGTGGGGCCTCCTGTCTCGCTCCCTTCGCCCCAAGAGCCAACTTCTCAGCCCTTTCTTCTAGATCCATCCCAAAGGGGAAAAACAGTTATGAGTCCTAGTTCAAGGACTTTGAAGAGACTACTATTTCTATAACTGTTCTCAGTAGGAAAGGGACTTTGTCGTGTAGAGTCCATTTCTCTGCCCTCTAAGTTATCTATCATATTTTGAAAGAGTTCCAGAGTGGTCCTTTGGAATACCCTTTATATGGCTGCTTTTCTGTGTGTGTTTCCATTTTGTATCCTGGTCTTCAGTGGGTGAAGGATAATAAATACTTTTTAATACATACTGGGTAACAGTGTTCAGAGTAGTTTCTCATGAGAGTGTAAATAGGCAAGCCGCTTTGTGGTCCTGCTGGCATCTCTAGGGTTAAACAAAAGTCCCTGTGTGTGCCAGGTGGAACCAAGGGAACTGTTCCTCTCCCCTGCTGTGTTCCTGGTGGAGCATTCTAAGGTCAGACAGCAAGTAGGGCACTGCATCACCCTGTACTTACCCAGCTCTGGGTTTTCCAACCTCACCACTGCCCAAGCTTTGACAGGGGAAATTAAATCTTTCTCAAGCATTCCTGAGAGAGAAACGAGTTTTTGCCCAACAAATGACTGGTTTCGTGGCGTTTATCCCTGGGTGGACGGGGGTCACGAGGACCCTTTTCAACTGTCTCTGCTCACGAGCGTGCTTTAAAATCAACCTATTTGCAGGGACAGGGGATCATAGTGGAAAAAAAAAAAACAAAACTTGGGCAGTACTGAATGGGTATCAAGAAAAACCAGCACCAGCCGTAACCCCGGAGGGAAGCTCTGGGTGGGCGTCCCAGTGTGTTTATTTAACTTGGAAAAGCATGCCCATAATGTTGGGGGGCGGCGTCCCCCAGATCCGGGGCACACTGTAAGCGCAGTTTCGCAACCGCTTTCCTACCGGTGTTTTCCACCAGGTCCCCTCCCTCCGCGTCTCCCCTCCTCCAGCTCCCGAGCCCCGCCCCCCTCCAGCAGCCCCAGCCCGGCGCTAGGGCTCCGGCCCCCGGGGGCGGGGCCTATCTGGGGGCGGGGCCTTGGCGGAGACGGGCTTGGAGGGGGCGGGGCCTTGGCGGAGACGGCGTTGGAGGGGCGGGGCCTTGGCGGAGACGGGGTTGACGGGGGCGGGACCTTGGCGGGGGCGGGGCCTTGGCGGAGGCAGGGTCTCGGCGAGAGCTTCTGTGGAGGCGGGGTCTCGGCGGGGGGCGGGGCCTCTGCGGGGCGGGGTCTCTGTGGGGCGGGGCCTCGGCTCGCCCCGCCCTCCGGCACCCGGAAGCGGCCCGGGCGCGGAGCGGGGAGGTCGGCCGGCACCTCGGGGAGCCGGCACGGGGGCGCTTGCCCGGCGGCTGCCGCGGCCCCCGAGCGCCCCCGAGCGCCCCCCGCCGGCTCCCGGCGCGGCCATGCGGCGGAGCCTGCGGAGCTGGCTGGGCGGCTGCCTCCTGATGTCAGGTGAGGGGTCCGCGGGGGGGGGGGCTCCCGGCCGCGCTGGGGAGCTGGAGGCCGAGCCGCGACGCGGGCGGCGACCCCGAGCGGACCCCGGGCGCCCCGGGAGTGATCGGGCGCCGGGCGCGGCCCCCGGAGCCTCCCTTTCAGCCTCAGCACCCCGGCATCCGAGCTCTGCCTCTCCGCCCCCCAGCTCTGTGGCTTCGGGGCTCTAAAGCCCCCGAAACCTTTTCAGCCCTCCTCCAAGTTTCCTCCCCGGCTTCAAACAGCAGCGGACCCCTCCCCCTTCCTCGCTGATGGCCTCGGCTCCTTCCAGGACGCCGCACTCTCCCGGCCTTCCTCCCGCCTCTCAGGCTGTTTGCACCCCGGATCCTCCAGCCCTGCCAGATCTTGCCCAGGCCCCCGCCCCGCGCCGGCCCTGTAGGAGATACCCGCAGAACCCTGGCCTGGAGTACCATGGCACAGGCCCGTGACTCAGTGTGAGTCTCCCTTGGCACCGGTTGCAAGAGGGGCCAGTGGTTTATCATACTCTTCCCTCTGCTTTTGGGTATGCTTGATATTTTCCATCGGAAATGGGGACGCCTGGGTGGTTCAGTGGTTGTGATCCCGGGGTCCTGGGGTCCATCCAGCCTCAGGCTCCCTGCAGGGAGCCTGCTTTTCTCCCTCTGTCTAGGTCTCTGCCTCTCTCTGTGTGTCTCTCATGAATAAATAAATAAAAAAATTTTTTTTAAAAAAGTGATTTCTATCTCTAGCCCAGATCTCTCCTCTGTGCACCAGGCTCCTTTCTCCAGCTGTCTGGGACATTCCTGCAGGTCTCTCTCTCCAGTATCTCCAAGCTAACGCAGCTAAAATAAGACTTTTGGTGTCTTTGCACCCAGTGCCAATCAGGACATCAGGTGCCTAAGCCGGGAATGAATATTAATCTCTCCATACCAAATGTAGACAGAAAGTCTAGAGTCCTTACCTCTGGAAATATATCTAAAATCCATCTACCCACACCCTCACACCTTTTTCCCATCACCCAAATCCAGGTCACCCCCAACTGTCCCCACTTTACTCTTGCTCTCTGCCCCACCCTGACCCCCCAGCACCCCCTGGCAGTCCTTCAAATAAAATCCAGAGAGTACAGCTAATGTATGTCTCGTTTCCCCTCACCCACCCACATGCTTATCTGAAGACGTGGAACCATAGGGGAGACCCATGTGTTGGGTACGGTCATTTACTTCTGCAACTGGTTTTAAGGAGCAAGGATGCCAACTTTTTTTTTTTTTTTAACAGCATTAGGGCTGGTGCCACCTCCTAAAAACGTCAGGATGAAGTCAGTTAATTTCAAGAACATTCTCCAGTGGGAGTTGCCTGCTTTTCCCAAAGGGACTCTGACTTTCACAGCCCAGTACCAAAGGTGAGTCTGGGATGCTCTTGGCAGAAGGGCCCTGAGCTGGTCACTGAGCTGGACCAGAGGAGAGAGCCTGACTGCTGTCACCTGCATGATCATGACAACTCCTAGGGAACCTCCCTGCTGGCCTTTTTCTTTCTGTCTGGAAAATTCTTGTGAAAGTTCTCTTCTCTGAAAAGAGATACATCAACTCTTTCTTGCTTTTTGTTTGTTGTGATGGTTCAGCATTTGACCATCACAGGGCCACCGGTAGATACAGACACATGTGAGCATGGATGTCACTGGCCATAGTGGTAGCCTGTTGCCCTATGAGCATATGGGATTTGTCACAATTGATGTTTTTTTAAGAGAAAAAATGTCACTGGTATCATCTCCACTTATTAGAACAGTATTGCTAGAAGTCAACAATTTGCAAGTGGAAGCCATCCAGGAAAACTGAGGTATGCAAAACAGGAAGGCCCTTGCCATCCAGCCACCCATCCCCTCCAACAGATTATGACAGAACCTCACCATGCAGTGGGGTGCAGATAATTTGCATGGTGGGTGCTCAGCTACTCTGTGGCTGTGTCCTGAATTTGAAAGTAAAACAGCTAGCTGCTGGTTCTGAAAAGCTCTAGCCTCTGAAAGCAGCAGAGGCTAATGAAGGAAGGGTGAGTATCACCAAGACAATTATCTCAGCGGTGCTCTGACTGCCCAGTACCTGCCCTGCCGGTTGATTTTAACCTCTGCCAGCCCTCCCTCAGCAGCTTGCCATCATACGCCACAGGCTAGACTGCAGGTGACACACCTTTACGCCAAGTGCAAGTAGCAGCAGGAGGCCAAAGGGTGATGAGCCGACACACCTGCTTCCAATATGACCCAGAAATGTGCAAAGATAGTCCCTTTGATGAAGCAGGAGGAAACACAGGTCCCTAGATCCCATTAATCCCACACTCCTCCTCCTCCTCCAAATTTCTTTTGTAGACATAGCCCAGGCCTGCTAAGGCAGGGGAAAAGTAGGAAGATGAGTAAGATAGCCTTTGTTTACTTTTTGGGGAGCTCCTTTGTTCGAAGTAATTTGCAGCTAACAGAACACTTTTAAGATTTCAAGTACAATGCAAAGAACTTCCAAATCACTTATGTCCATATTCACCAATTTTTAAGATTACCACACTTTCTTTCTTCCTCTTTCTCTGTCTTAAGTCATGCCCTTTGCCCCTTAAATTTTCATCATGGATTTCCTAAGAGTGAGGGTAACCTTTTATATCACCACCTGCAGCCATCAAGGTTGGCAGCCTCAACATTGGTGCAGTGCTTTCGTCCGACCTACAGTCCTCAGTCCAGTTTTGTCAGTTTTCTCAAGAATTTAGGAAGGATTGTTGTGCCACTCATCTTTCCCTGCATGCATTTTCTACCCCTGATTGGTTTGATAATTTCATGACTCTTTCTACTCCCAACAGGGAGCCTGCTTCTCCCTCTGCCTATATCTCTTTGCCTCTGTGTGTGTGTGTGTCTCATGAATGAATAAACAAAATCTTAAAAAAAAAAAAAAAAAGAATTCAGCTTGAGAGGTTGTGTGTACAAACTCTCCCATACGTGTGTGCTGGGTAAGGGTGACCAGAGGAGGGGTACTTCGGAGGATGAGTTGGTGATTTGAATGTGGAAACATCTTTGTTGGTTTTTTAAAAAATATTTAGTTTATTTGATAGAGAGAGAGAGAGCGTTCACACACGTGTGTGTGAGCACATGAACAGAGGGGAGAGGGAGAAGCAGACACCCCACTGAGCAGGGAGCCCAAAGCAGGTCTTGATCCCAGGACCCTAGGATCATGACCTGAGCCCAAGGCAGACACCTAACTGACTGAGTCCCCCAGGTGCCCTGGAAACATCTTTGAAAATGAGATGTAAATATGGAGAATGGGTTATATTACCTATTTCACAGGGAGGAAAAGATTTTTAAATGCAATAAAAATGACTTGATAAAAGAGAAGTTATTGCAAAACAACTTTTGAAATACTCCATGTTCCAGCCAATTGATGATGCATTAGTTTAAATGAAGGAAGTGGCCACATGTGAAAAAGTCCCCTTAATGCACTGACCCCTGGAGTCTCCAAATGATGGGATGTCAGGCAGCCCATGAAGAGTTGACTGGGGAAGTGTTTGTGGTATAGTAAGTGAAACGAGCAGATTATAGGATAGGCTGAGCCCAATGACCTCTACGTACTTTAATTTTTTTTTAAGATTTTATTTATTTATTCATGAGAGACACACAGAGAGAGAGAGAGAGACAGAAACATAGAGAGAAGCAGACTCCATGCAGGAAGCCCAACGTGGGACTCGATCCCGGGTCTCCAGGATCACGCCCTAGGCCCAAGGCAGGTGCTCAACCACTGAACCACCCAGGCGTCCCAACCTCTACGTACTTTTAGCAAGAACTTGTGGGTATAGCCTAGAATGTG